GACAGTGGCAACAATAATGTAAGTCATATTGCTGATGCCAGGGAAGCTCGTTCAGGCCAGCGCACTAGCTGAACTCGTGTTTAGCTAGTGTTACAGCTACACTAAGCACAGGAGGACCGATCCACTGTAGTGAAAATATAGGCTAAAAAATATACACTTAAATCAGCTTCACACAAACTTGTGAAATGCAGACCACTATCAAAGTATATTGTAAGGCAGACCTTACAATTATATATATAGAGAGAAAAACCCAAAAATCATATGACCCTCTATGAGCAAGCACTTTGGTGACGGTGGGAAGGAAAAACTCCCTTTTAACAGGAAGAAACCTCCAGCAGAAGCAGGCTCAGGGAAGAGCGGGCATCTGCCGCAACCGTTTGGGATGAAAGAAGGAAGACAGGACTTTTAACTATGAATCCTCTATGTCACAGGTGTCCAACTCCAGGCCTCGAGGCGCGGTGTCCTGCAGGTTTTAGATGTGTCCTTGATCCAACACAGCTGATTTAAATGGCTTAGTGACCTCCTCAGCATGTCTTGAAGTTCTCCAGAAGCCTGGTAATGAACTAATCCTGTGATTCAGGTGTGTTGACCCTGGGTGTTATCTAAAACCTGCAGGACACCGGCCCTCAAGGCCTGGAGTTCAACACCCATACTCTGTGTAGTTCATGCTAGGTGTTCAATAACTCACATTTATTACACAAAAAGGGTGCAGAAATTCTCTGACACAAAAATAAAGTTCTCATGCAATCACTCAAATAACTGAAATGGACTTTATGGTTTCAGAATGTAAAATATAATTAGAAATATAATATAGAACAAAACCATTTAGATAAGCAAAGGGAAAATGTAGCATTACTGATGCAACATTTACAAAAAGCTCAGCAAGGCCAATATAACACAAAGCTAGATTTTATATTGAAAGCTGTTACAGGTTCAGGCTGTAGCACAACACTTTGCTTAAAAACATGGGCTGACATCTCCTCTCTGCCTATTCCCTCAAGCATTTTTCTCTATCTTTATCACTTTCTTTTAACCTCTGACCGCAAACATCTATGTCTTTGTGACTGCTCCATAAGCTGCTTTTGACCTAATCTACATCACCTTCTTTTGGTCTGGATTTTCTTATACATTACATACACAATCATACTCACACAAACAAACAAAAAAAAGCTCAGTCTTTGAAGCATGCGTCATCCTGATTGAAACCACAGCACCGATTACACATCAAGTGTCAAAACAAATCCTCCTGACAGGATGTTGTTTCACTGTCCCTGAAAAAAATGTCATTTCAAAAGCAGAGATATAACACCATTTTGTAAAAGCTGCATTTAAATCAAAATACCCCCCCATTTTGAATTTGAATACATGGGAACAAATGACTGAAAAAGCTGCAGAAGTACAATCAATTTCAGGATTTCAACTCCAGCGCCTGAAGTTCAAAGCTTTTCACAGAAACGCAAGATCAACTTAAATGTGTAAACAAACTCGAGAAGTGCAGGCATGTTAATTGGTAACTGCCTCATTGAAGATGACCTGAGGCAAAGTTAAAAACTGCCCTATGGTCTCGCCAGTCCACATTTAAAAAGTATTTTTGAAACCTAAACATCTGCACTGACTCCTTTGGATGTTAAAGTATGGTCCCATTCAAAGTATAATGTAATTGAAGACAGCCTTTTTAGCTTTTGTTTTTCCAGACAAAAGCCAAAAAGTGTTGTTTAATAAACGATAGATTTTGTCCATTTTGATTAGATTTTGTTGAAGCAAGTCAAAATAGTACTCTTGTATGGCCCCCACGTCCTTGTATGCATGCCTGACAACGTTAGGGCATGCTTCCAGTGAGACGATAGATTGTGTTCTGGGGGATCCAGATACGGACTAGGGCATCCCTGAGCCCCGGGACAATCTGAGGTGCAACCTGGCGGTGTTGGATGGACCCAAACATAATGCCCCAGAGGGGTTGTATTGGCATTAGGTCAGGTAAGTGTGGAGGCCAGTCAGTGGTATCAGTTCCTTCATCCTCCAAGAACTGCCTGCATACTCTCATCACATGAAGCCAGATATTCTTGTTCACCAGGAAGAACCCGGGACCAGCATGGGGTTGGAAATGGGTCCAAGGACTTCATCCTGATACCTAATGGCAGTTAGGGTGCTGTTGCTGAACCTGTTGAGGTCCGTGTGTCTCTCCGTGTATGTGCCTCCTTAAACCATCACTGACCCACCACCCAACCGGTCATGCTGAACAATGTTACAGGCCGTATATTCTCCACTGCTTCTCCAGATCCTTTCACATCTGTCACATGTGCTCATAGCAAACCTGCTCTCAACTGTGAAAATACAAGATGCCAGTTGTGAACTTGCCAATTGTTATATTCTGTGGCAAATGCCAGTCAGAGAGTGAGCACAGGATGCACTAGAGGATGTTGGGCCCTCAGGCCACCTTTGGTGAACTCTGTTTCTGATTGTTTGGTCAGAGACATTCATGCTAGGGGCCTGCTGGAGGTCATTTTGTAGGGCTCTGGCAGTGCTCATTCTGTTCCGAAGCAGATACTGGCCCTACAGGTCGTTGGTCATTACATATTGATACAAGTATTATTACTTGATGTTGTAGCCAACTCCTAAAAGTCATAAGAAATGCTGTAAAATTATCCCTGAGCTCAAGACAAAAAAATAAACAATTCCTAAAACACACAACCACATGGGGATCCTCCCTACAAAGTTCTTACAAAACTATTAATACTTGATTGAATCACAGTGCAATTTTACTGGTCCTTAAGTGTTACGCAAGGAGACTTAATCATCTGAATACATATGCCACGGTTAGAGGACAGCACACGAACTCTCCCTGAACCAGCACAGTTGATGTGAATCTAACAGTTGAACTTTCACTTTGGAGCTAACTTTGTATTTCATCAAAACTATCCCAGCTGTTAAGTCATGAATTAGCATATGCATGCTACATCATCTTAATCATAGATGAGTGATACAGATCCCATCAGTTACAGACAACTGCCACGCCTATGGAGGCTTACACTGGAAAATGTAAAGTAGCAGAATGAAGAGTGACATATGTGTTCAGTAAACTGAGGAGAAACCGAGAGATGGCAAGAACAGAAAGAGAGAAACCGCACGCTTGACTATCTTCACATTGGTCTTATGGGAGCTGAGCTACATCCTTCCCAGAGTGTCCTATCCGGCGAAGGCTAATGAACACCCTTTCCCAGTCATTCAGTGCATGCATCATTTCAAAACTGGACATCATGGGAGACAAAACTTTAACAGTTGCTCTTTTCCCCCCTCAGGGTTCTAAATGGGTGCACTTGGTGATTTGCTGCTGCAAAATGCTCCAGCTAGAGCCGACTCAGAACTAAAAATTACACACTAAATGTACCTACACTGGCAGATGTTGTACAAGTCACCCTTCACGTATTTTTTCTTCATCTACAGGCTTTCCTTGCAGATAGCAGCACAAAATCTATTCAAATTCAAACACTGTAACACTAGATTTTAAAACTGTATTTATTTTAAGCAATTTCTTTACATCGAAAGGTATAACAGGGATCACAACATAAAGTCAAAATATAAGCAGCTTTCCAGCCAGTGTGGATTTTAATGTCAGACTATTGCAGCAGCCTTATGTCAAGTTCTGCATGTGCCACCTGAACCTTGCAACACTCACCATCCTTGCGGTGGTAGGTGATCTCCACTTTGCGCTCCTCGGACCCCAGCAGTGCCTGGGCCACCTGGGCCACAGCGTGCCGACTGGTGAACTGGCCATGCAAGAAGTCACAAGTGCATGGCTTCTGCATTACATCCGGCCTGGAAAAGCCCGTCATCTCGCAGAAACCATCATTACAGTAGATAATAGCGCAGTTCTGCACCCGGGCATTGGCTATGATGAATTTCTTATCTGTGACGAGGCAGAGAAGAAATTGGGGGAGAAAGAGTGTTACCGTGTTTATAGATGTAATTTTAAACTATTTGCACATAAATAAGAATATGACAAAGTATAACAAATGTTTTATTTAACTAATACAAGTGGGTGTATTGGTTTGCATGGGATTATCCAGAATTACAGTCCTGAATGCTACTCAGCTGACTGAATAAAATTATGAAACTTCACATGTAGGTGGGATTGCTCTAGACAATAAGCACGTTCAGTAAATCCTTAGTAGGCTTAAATACTCCACTTTCTATTAACGAGGTGGCGTTAAATTTGACATTTTTTTTTAAAACAACAATGTGGAGAGACAACTGATGCACATTTTTGAGTTGTAAAAACCAGATTTGAGGCATAACTGAAACCCATTTTTAAAAGCGTAATTAGCTAAATTCATATATGGGGGATACAATCTGTAATTAATTACGTTAATCCTTTAATCCGTGTATATCACATGCAGCATTTTAAACTACATTTCCCACCGGAGCAGGAGAAAATGAGAAGCACACCAGAACTAAACAAACCTGGTGCGCGATAACACAGTATGGTAATTGACTCATAATGACTTTCATGGACTTCTGGCATTAACATCACAGGGTTAGCCATCCAAAGCCTTGCTGGTGTATAAAAGAAGGCCTATTCCTAACAATAACTGATCTCGAGGAGCAGCGGGACAGACACAAAAGACAAGCAGCACAGCACAGTGCACCCACACAGTACCTGACACCCAGGAAATCTACTTACTTTGTCCTTCGAATTTCCGAATAATTACTCCCAAAAATGTGTTTTGCGGCGCAACATGACCCCTCCGGACAGGCATGGTTCCCCTTCCAAAAATAATAATAATGATGGAAGAAAAAAAATCTTTGTCTGTCCAAGTGCGAGCACACCGGTCCCCACAAAAATGTCTTCCGTAAAGTTATAAAGCGGGTGTCAACCGCAGCCAGAGGGGCTCCCCGTATTCTTTGTCATCAGTCAGTCATCCTCGTAAAAAAAAAAAAGAAAAAAAAAAAGCCCCAACCAACCGCTTTCCGGTTTTCTTACCCAAGCCCCAATGTTTCCCTTATTTCAACTCCGACGTGTCCCCCGTTGAGCGCATCGCAGAGGCTTCCCTGCGCTTCTCGCCGACGTGAAGCTAGAAAGAAAGAAAGAATCGGCAAACCGCAGTTTAAACATTTCACCGTCGCTCCTCGAAAGCACTGCGCGCTTTTTGTGTCGGCGCGTGAGCAGAAGGCGCGCGTGCGTGCGTGCGAGCGAGCAGGGGTCTATTGTTGTGAAGGGAAGACGGATGGTCTCTGAGGCCAATGGCTGAGAGGCGCAGCACCGACACTGCGAAGGGAGAACCCACAAGGATGCGCAGACAAAGCAGCAAACGTAGAGATGTTAGAGGCGAGGCGGAGAAGTAACGGATTACTGTAACACCTTCCAGTGTGGTTAGACGCATCATTTCATGAGTAGGCTTTAGTTAAGTTAGCACAGAGTAAACACAGCTCGTACTTTTAGCTGATACACGCCTAAAGGCGAATTATTATCGACATTTTCAATATTCAGTTTTCCTTTTTATCTGTCTTATCACAGCTGCTACATTTATTGTAGACTTTATGAGCGCAAGCTAGCTTAACTTTGCCTGCTTGAATAAAAAACAAAACAAAAACGGATTTTTACTGAAATGACTTACCTTATTTTGGTTTGCAACATGACATCGAGTGAGGAAATACGTTTTGACATAGAATCATTTTTTTCTTTGTTACTTTTTCTGAGTCGCAAGCCCGACAGCGGCAGTGGGAGGCTGAGATCAGGGCAGCCGATGCAGGTGTATTTTATTCAAAGAGAGCGCTTGGCCACCACATATCTCCCCTTTCCGCTTTTCCTGTAAAACACCGTTTGCATCCAAAATGGAGCAAGGATCCACTGTCACTGCCTCGGCCAGGCGCTGGCCATGGTGCTGCTGTTGCGGCGTCTCACATTTCCCCCCGCTGCTGGTTTCAGTAACTTTTTTTGAAAAGATTCAGCCTTTGTTGCTGCCTTGTAACGAACGCAATACACTGTGTAAAAAATAACAAAAAAAAACAACAATAAAAAAGATAATAGTTCCCATTCAAGCAGTCTACACTTAGTTGCTGTAAACTCTCCTTAGTATGCAACAGCTTACTTGAGGTCAAGTAATTACTCTCTCTTCCAAAATTGTGCTTTTTGGCAGAGATTTAATAGTATATTCTGCACATTAGCGGTACTTTCATATGATTGAATGTTTTATTATTGAACTATTATTTGTTTACCATTAACAGCATTTTTCTAGCTTGTTGGGTGTGTTTTTTTCATTAACAAAAGCTACTTATCTTTTCAATGCCATTTTTACATTCAAATACACAAAGAAGATAACAAATAACAGTAGACTGAAATAAAAAAAAACATAAATTAGAGTGACTTTAGCTAGCATTTCATGTTATTTACATGCAAATTAGGGCTCAGGTGATAGAGCGGGCCATTTAGTAATCTACTAATACCGCTAATGAAGGTCAGCAGTTTGATCCCTAGCTCTTCCAGTCTGCAGGCTTCCAGTGTTCCTAAATTGCACCCAGTGTATCCATTACAATCGTCTGGGCGTATAGTGAAAAAGCAATTAAAGGCATGGAATTAAAGTGCTGCATGAATTTGTGTGGTATGAGTGGATGAATGTGGCATATAGTGTTTAAAGTGCTTTGTAGTGCTCAGTAAAAATAGTTAAGAGCCATTTAAATAGTAATCTATCACATCTGAACTGGTAACATGTTTATATCAGTTGTTCTATAAATGACATTTATTAGGTCATATATGTGCAATCTTAATCTACAAACCCATAGCTATAAAATTAAAGTAGCATTTATTGTATAAATGTGCTTTCAACCACAATTATCTGTATTTCTTTTGGAGAATTTGCACTAGATCACCTACTGGTCATTTAATAAACTAAACCAACATGAGCTAGCAGGTTATCTATACCGGGGGTCTTAAAATGCTCTTGTTTCCTTTTATTATCTTTTCCCCCTTGGTCCACTTTCCTTGCAGATTCAATTTATTCTCTATGTCTCCTTCAGTGTTCCACTCAGACACGCACAGGCAAGTAAGCACTCCCATACTCTAGTGGAACATCTGTCCTGCTCCATTGAGAAAATGATTCACAATTCAACAGACATGGTGGGGAGGGGAGTTGCAGAGACTGCAGACCATGTTGCTTTTGCAGTCTTTTATTTCTCTCTTATTCCCCTACTCCTCCCTCAGTCTGTGTCTGTCACAGAGCGAGCAAAACTCTCCCTTCACTGAAACAGTGAAGGTAAGGCCTACCCCTGCCATAGTCACAATCTCATTTAAAGAAAATGCAGTGTTTGTTAGTTTGTATTCCAGCTCTTAACGTGCTCAATGAAATGACAAAACAAAATTTACATAAAAATCTGAGGGCCTTTTTTATTCCTGTTTCCTTCTAGATGATCACCATCTTCTTCTTTTGACTGGTCCCTTTAGGTGTTGTCACAGTGGATTATCTGCCTCCATCTCACTCTGTCCCAGGAACATCATGCAATCAAAAAATCAAAAATAGGTATTCCCCAACAAATTGTGTGGGGTTTCTGAAAGTAGCTAAGAGTTACTGTGATTTCCAATTCATACAGGTCTAGTGACTGGTCAGTGTACCCCTGGTAATGGCATAGGGAAAGGTCTTGTATCTGTTTAAAAAAAAAAGATGTGCATAACATTTTTAATCAATTTCAATCATTTTATCGTAAAATGAATTGAATTAAAAGTTTAAAATTGAAAATGAGATTATGATGGCTGCAGATACTGGTGTTTGCTCTTTAATAGCATTAGCTCAGCTTTTAAAACAGTGGATCAGAGATAGGTTACAGCATCTAGTTTTTCCATCAGAGGATTATTGCCTACCACTTGGAGAGTAGCTGGTGAGTTTCTGCAGACAAGTCAGCATCTTCATGAAAGTTACAGATGACTGCAACAAATCTGCTAGAACAAGGAGGTTTTTGGCACAACACCACAACTGTGGGGCTCTGGCCCTGTGTGAGTGAAACCTTACATAGGTAAAAGGGTGAACTGCTACTTTATCAGTTAATACTAGCAAGCTTGGTTTGCATGCTGCTTTCAAAAACTGTGGTTGCAATGCAGACACAACAACTCGGCCATTTAGTGCTAAATAACTGAGTAATAACATGGGGACATTTGACTCAAACATTTAACACAAATGTTTTGAATAGTCGCTACCACACAATAAGCTAGCTTCAGGGATCACCCGAAATCTTGTAAAGCATCGTGTAAACCTTGCTTTACAAGGAAGGATCCAGGCCTAACTACGTGCTTTATCAAAAGGGAATGTTTTAAGCCTGATCTTGAAAGTAGAGATGGTGTTTGCTTCCAGAATACAAACTGGAAGCAGATTCTATTATTTTGTGGGGATTTCAGCCCGCATTGTCTGTAGTGGGTGTTGACCTCATTCTAGGCCAGGGGTGTCCAACTCCAGGCCTCGAGGGCTTGAGGGTGTCCCCCAGGTTTTAGATGTGTCCTTGATCTAACACAGCTGATTTAAATGACTAAATTACCTCCTCAACATGTCTTGAAGTTCTCCAGAGGCCTGGTAATGAACTAATCATTTGATTCAGGTGTGTTGACCCAGGGTGAGATCTAAAACCTGCAGGACACCGACACTTGAGGCCTGGAGTGGGACACTCCTGTTCAAGGCAATGATTTTGCATGCAGTTGTGTTTGGGCAAACGTGTCATCATCAAACGTGGTCGCTTTTCAGCTCAGATCAGGTAGAAAGTGTAGTCTGTCCTTACACTTACCTGGCCTGTGCTGTTACTCAGGCAATGAGTAGAATGAGTCCAAAGGGGCTGAGTGGGGTCAACTCTTTTGTACCAGTGGTTCTTGATTACGCATTATCTGTGTCCTATGGTGAGTTAAGGAATGAGCTGACCCGTCTCTGAAACAGCTGTTTCAAACTGTGCTCTATGCTGGGGGAGGTGAGAAGTCTTGTTAATGGATATTTACTTTGTATTTTTATATTTATTTTATTTATTTTTTTTTTTTGGAGCTCCAGTTTTTCAGCTAGTGATTCTATAGAATCATGCTCATGATGAGTCAGGACACCACGGTTTCTGTAAAATGTATGGTAAGATTTTGCGGCACTTTTTCTGGCCATGTGTGAAGAAAGACACCTCTGTGGGACTTGTCAGCTGACTGGAAAGGCAAATATGGTTATTAAACCTGGTACCCTCTAGCGATTTAAGCTATTAGTCAGCTGTTTTAGTATTTGCTCATTGACTATGTGAGTCCTCTGTCCCATGCAAAGTCTGGTGGCATGAACTTTTGAGTGTAATAATATGTAGTTAAGGCCATGAAAAAGTTCATTAGGCATCCTCAGGGTTATTCAGAGTGATCGGGGATCCAATTCTTCATCCTACTTGTTGGCCTGAGTTTTGAAACTGTTGGGGGTCAGGAGTAATCAGTCACCACCTTTTTATCCACAGAGTTAAGGTGTTTTGGAGTGTTTTCACTAAATGACTGGGAAGAGGCCCTGCTGTGCTTGCTTTTAGCTGTGGGAGTGATGATGTAGGAAAGCCCAAGTTTTAGCCCAAATGATCTGGTGTTTGGCCATGCCGTCAGGGATCCATTGTCTGTGTTTAAGATGGGTAGAATGAGACAGATACTCAAACAAATTTAATTGACTATGTGAATGGGTTTAAGCACTGGTTAAATATTGCAGGTGAGCTAGCAAGGGAAACACTGGCTGCGTCCCAGCCTAAAATGAAAGAGAGATATGATTCCTGAGCCGAGTTGCGTGAGTTTATTCCTGGTGACAAAGTCTTAGCTCTTGGCCCACTTGTTCGTTCACCTTTCCAATTTGTTAATTTGTTAAGACTTTATTATGAGCAGTCTCCTGGTTTGTCTTATCCAGTGTTGGGGAGTAACGGAATACATGTGCCGCCGTTACGTATTTAAAATACAAAATATGAGTAACTGTATTCCGTTACAGTTACCGTTTAAAAAGGTGGTATTTAGAATACAGTTACTTTGT